GGTGATGGTAGTGAGGGGTGAGGGAAGTGAGGGGTGATGGTAGTGAGGGGTGAGGGAAGTGAGGGGTGAGGGGCCGGTTGACCAGTGCATGGCAGCTCCTGTCGAGAGTTACTACCACTCTCTATCATCCATGAATCTATCTAGCCTCCTTTTAAAACTTTCCAGCGTTCCAGCACTTACTACAAAGCTGCTAAGCTTGTTCCACTCATCCACCACCCTATCTAGCGTCCTTTTAAAACTTTCCAGCGTTCCAGCACTTACTACAAAGTTGCTAAGCTTGTTCCACTCGTCCACCACCCTATCTAGCCTCCTTTAAAACTTTCCAGCATTCCAGCACTTACTACAAAGCTGCTAAGCTTGTTCCACTCGTCCACCACCCTATCTAGCCTCCTTTAAAACTTTCCAGCGTTCCAGCACTTACTACAAAGTTGCTAAGCTTGTTCCACTCGTCCACCACCCTATTTGTGAACCAGTTTCTTCCTATCTCCCTCCTAAACCTAAACTTATCCAACTTAAATCCGTTGCTCCGAGTCCTCTCCTGCTCACTCATATAACAACACATCAAGGAAAATCGCGAGCGTTACAGGCCGACAACACCAGGCAGGAATTAGAAAAGGTAAATAATTACGAAAAACAATGGAAAATCCAAACCAGTCTCCCGAAATTCACAGTGATACCCTTATGCAGAAGGAAAACCCATCCATTAGTAACCAATAATGCCCAGATAGAATACAAAAGCAGAGGCACCCTCCTGGGCCTGCATATATCCACGACAGGTTACTCCCATCATGTCCACAGTAGGAAGGAAAAGGCAAGAAGAGAGCCGAGAAAACTATACTGCTTTAATGCGCTTCCTGAGAAAATAAAACTCCGCCTGGTGACATCATTTATTAACTTACCCAGCAGTACCTCTTGTGAGCACCACTCAAATATTAAATTTACAGGTGGTCCAAAATGAAGCCCTAAGATTTGTCACAGGTGAAAGATACCCCTTCACCTGAACCACAGCTGAGATACATTGAGACCTGAGAATAAAACCCATCAACCAGCAGCTGCACACCCTGGCCAGCAGTCTGGCAAAAGATAGAACGATCAGAGCAAGAACTCCTTCAAAGACTCCCACCAGACAATGACAACAACCATACATGGTTCCCAAAAAGTTACTAAAAGGTCCATTACCACCCCCGATCAACATGGCCAGGCAATAGACAACCTCCCTAGACCAGCATCCACCAGTAGGGTCGGCGGAATATGAAATAAGGCATATATGGCACAGGGTAGGATGTCTAGTGCCTGTACCGGCAGACAATAACTAACCCATGACACAACCCTAACACACTATTACCTTAGTCAGCCGCCCTCTCTTACCTCCTCTGAACTATAACTTCCTTCCCCACCTCTTATCTTCTTTCACCTTTCCTTTCTCTACAAAGGTGAGAGAGGGAGTGAGGGGAGAGAATTGAGGGGGAGAGGAGAGGGTGAGGGGGAAGGGGAAAAAAGGGTAGGGGGAAAATAGTAGAAGGAGGTAGTGAGGGGTGTGAAGGGAGGGGGTAGGAGGGGTAAAGGGTAAGGAGGTGGGGTGAGAGGGTAGTGAGGGGTGGGGTGAGGGTAGTGAGGGGTGGGGTGAGGGTAGTGAGGGGTGGGGTGAGCCTCAACCAATCCACCAATCACGACCGGGGACGCGATCTCACCGGGCCAATCAATTCAATTTCAATATTTTATTTCTTGATAGAGGAAGCGGGATCCTGGTGCTGTCACTAGGTACAATAACAACAGTGGCATCTGGCAAGTGTCACAAGTATGTACAAATATTATAAAGGTTCTTACTAAAGCCTAAGGAAGGAAGGCTATTCCTTTAACACATAATGTTCTTTACATAATATCTGGCCAGTATGGGGAGGATCATCGTCAGGGGGTCGTGGTCCAGCAGGCGTCACGGAAGCGTTGTGTGGGGAGACATCTTAGGAGGTAGTGGATAAGGGTGCGGCTGTCGGGTCTTCTGCATAATGCACAAGAGCGTTGCTCAGGGGATGCGGGGATACCAATCTCCCAAGCAAAGTCATACCCAATGATGATACGGGCAGCAATCACGTCCCCTTTCCGCGACCCTTCCCCATAGACATACGAGCGGTCGGGAAGTTTACGGAGGACATCGTACCAGGTGGGCGGGAGTCCAGGGGGATGGCTGCTTCCCGAGCTTCTCTCTGTTTGCGTCTAATTTGTGTCCTAAGCTGTAAAAGTCTTCGAGGAACAACGTAGTCAGGTGTGGCCTTGTTGTAGTCAGGTGTGGCCTTGTTGTAGTCAGGTGTGGCCTTGTTACAGCCAGTCTTGGGAAGGCCATCTGCTGCCTCATTCCCCAAGATACCGACATGACTGTATATGGAATCACAGGACGGCCTGCATCCTGAAGTGTGGATGTTAACCCTCGTATTCGGAGGATGAGGTCCTTATTCTCCCCTGATCCAGATGCTGTCCCGTCGAGACCAGACCTGGAATCGCAGCAGACATGCAAGGGGGGACAGAAACTACCTGGCCAATCTGAATAATGAAGTCATGCAAGTGACCGCCGACTCACTTAACCTTGTCCTGTCTGTCTGTCTGTCTGTCTGTCCGTCTCTTTCCCTTTCATTTCTTCTTCGGAATTATTATTATTATTATTATTATTATTATTACAGGTAAGATCACAGCAGGGAGGGCCACACACAATAGGGTCACAGCAGGGAGGGCCACACACAATAGGGTCACAGAAGGGAGGGCCACACACAATAGGGCCACAGCAGGGAGGGCCACACACAATAGGGTCACAGCAGGGAGGGCCACACACAATAGGGTCGAGCAGAAGGAGGCCACACACAATAGGGTCACAGTAGGGAGGGCCACACACAATAGGGTCACAGCAGGCAAGCAGTCACACAACAGGGAGGGCCACAGCAGATAGGGCCACACACATCAGAAAGGCAGGGCCACAGCAGGGAGGCATGGCCACAGCAGGGAGACAGGGCCATAGCAGGTAGGGCCACACACAATACAGCCACAGCAGGCAGTGTCATAGAAGGCAGGGCCAGAGCAAAAAGGGTCACATTCAACAGGGCCACAGATGACAGGGCCACACACTGCAGGGAGGCCACAACACAGGGGTCACACACAATTGGGCCACACACAACAAAGGGACCACAGCAGGCAGGGCCACAAATAGGGAGGGCCACACACAGTAGGGGGAGGGGAGGGGAGGGCCACACACACAGGGAGGGGAGGGAGGGCACACACACAGCAGGGAGGGAGGGAGGGGAGGAGGCCACACACACAGCAGGGAGGAGGGAGGCCACACACACAGGGAGGGAGGGAGGGAGGCCCCACACAGCAGGGGAGGGGAGGGGCACACACACAGCAGGGAGGGAGGGAGGGCACACACAGCAGGAGGGAGGGGAGGAGGGCCACACACACACAGCAGGGAGGAGGGAGGGCCACACAGCAGGGAGAGGGAGGGCCACACACACAGCAGGGGAGAGAGGGAGGGCCACACACACACAAAACAGGGAGGAGGGCCACAGGAGGGGAGGAGGAGGAGGGCCAGCAGGAGGTAGGCAGTTCTCACCATTCTACACGGGGACGATCATCGTGCTGAAGTTGTGTAACAAAGCCCCTGCCCTGGAAGCCTGTGTGTGTCTGGTGCCACCCTCAAAAGGTGTGACTATTTAAGCCAAACACGACGGCGACTCGGTATCTACGGCTTTTTGCCAATCCACTTTCTGTGTTCTGGCAAACTTTATCCGTTTTCTCTTTCCTTTTACATTACTTTTTTTTTTTTTTTTTGCCTTCGAGGGGAAACTGAGTACAGATATCCTCCCGACTTTCAGTAGAGGTGGGGAAAAATGTCCAAAGGAAGTAATGAATTACGAGTAAAATAGATTTCAGGTTCTCTCAGCTGGTCTACTCAGTTGGTCCCCTCAATAGGTTCCTCCCTCAGCAGGTCCCCCCTCAGCAGGTCCCCCTCAGCAGGTTCCCTCAGCAGGTATCTCAGTGGAAACATAGGACCCTCAACCGACCTGTGTTAAACCCCGGGGAACCCTTAATCTAGTTTTCTTTGAAGTACCGATAGTTCGCGTCGTCGTGGCCTCGGGCGCTCATTTCACCGGGTAAAGTTGGCGGTAGGGGCGACGGCGCGGTGAAGGCCACACACCCTGGGGGCCTTCGTCAGGAAATTGGGCAACGGACAAACGGCCAGGTTGTTCATATTGAAGAGGACGTGTGTACAGTGTAAATTTGGGGCGTTGTGTCTGTAACAGCGGGCGTTCCGGAACCGCTGGGGGGGAGGGGGATGAGGGGTGGAGGGGGAACGGCGAGATGCACTAATGTTGCCTCCGCTACATCTCACGCCTCCCTTCCTCCTCCCTCCTCCCTCCTCTCTCCTCCTCTTGTCCCCAGTCTTGAGGTACTGGGATGGGAGGAAGGGGGGGAGGGGGAGTAAAGAAGAGAGGCGGAAGGAGAGGGTGAGAAAAGGAGAGGGGAAGTATGGAGGAGGGGAAGTAAGGGGGAGGGGAAGTAAGGAGGAGGGAAGTAAGGGGAGGGGAAGTAAGGGGAGGGGGAAGTATGAGGAGAAGAAGTAAGGAGGGAGGGAAGTAAGGAGGAGGGGAAGTAAGGAGGGAGGGAAGCAAGGAGGGAGGGGAAGCAAGGAGGGGAGGGGAAGTAAGGAGGGGAGGAGAAGCTAGGGAGGGGGAGATACCTTGAGAATTTACACTGTGACTCTCAGACCAGCTGTGAATCCGGGGAGGGGGAAGGGGGGTGCTGTAGGAGCCCCCCCTCCCCCCTCAGAATTTTTTGGAGATCTGACCAATATCATGGCCATTTTGAGGCCATTTTGAGGTCATGTGCACTTGATATTAGGAGATATTCTGAGGTCAATGGTAATTAATTTTTACAATACAAAAACACCTGAGGACAATAGTGTATTAAAGAAGAAGTATTAGAATTTTCTCCCTATAAGAAAGACTATCCCACAGGACCCCACACAGATCCCAGGACCTGTCAGGATCCCACAGGACCTGCCAGGACCCCACAGGACCCCACAGGACCCCACAGGACCCAGGATCCCACACAGATCCCCAGGACCCCCAGGACCCCACAGGACCCCACAGGACCTGCCAGGACCCCACAGGACAGGATGACAGGATCCCACAGGACCTGCCAGGGGATCCCACAGGACCCCACAGGACAGGATCCCACAGGACCTGCCAGGATCCCACAGGACCCCACAGGACCCCCAGGACCAGGGGACCCGCCAGGATCCCACAGGACCTGCCAGGACCCCACAGGACCTGCCAGGGATCCCACAGGACCCGCTAGATCCCACAGGACCCACAGGACCCCACAGGACCCGCCAGGATCCCACAGGACCTGCCAGGATCCCACAGGAGGATCCCACAGGACCTGCCAGGATCCCACAGGACCCCTAGATCCCCAGGACCTGCCAGGATCCCACAGGACAGGATCCCACAGGACCTGCCAGGACCCCACAGGAAGATCCCACAGGACCCCCCAGGATCCCACACAGGAGGATCCCACAGGACCCGCCAGGATCCCACAGGACCTGCCAGGATCCCACAGGACCCAAGGATCCCACAGGACCCGCCAGGATCCCACACAGGACCCGCCAGGATCCCACAGGACCCGCCAGGACCCCACAGGACCCCACAGGATCCCACAGGACCCGCCAGGATCCCACAGGACCCACAGGATCCCACAGGACCCGCCAGGATCCCACAGGACCCCACAGGATCCCACAGGCCAGGATCCCACAGGACCCGCCAGGATCCCACAGGACCCGCCAGGATCCCACAGGACCCCCCACAGGACCCCACAGGACCCCACAGGACCCCACAGGACCCGCCAGGATCCCACAGGACCCGCCAGACCCCAGACCCAGGACCCCCACAGGACCTGCCAGGATCCCACAGACCTGCCAGGATCCCACAGGACCCGCAGGATCCCACAGGACCTGCCAGGACCCAGGACTGCCAGATCCCACAGGACCTGCAGGATCCCACAGGGCCAGGATCCCCAGGACCCACAGGACCCCACAGAGGACCCCACAGACCCCAGGATCCCAGAGGACCCGCCAGGATCCCACAGGAGCCAGATCCCCAGGACCTGCCAGGACCCCACAGGACCCCACAGGGATCCCACAGGACCCGCCAGGACCCCGCTAGATCCCACAAGACCCGCAGATCCCACAGGATCCCCACAGGACCCCTAGGATCCCACAGGACCCGCTAGGATCCCACAGGACCCCAGATCCCACAGGACCTACAGGACCAGGACCCCACAGGGACCCCCCCACAGGATGGACCCAGACAGGATCCCACAACCTGGGATCAGGACCCCACAGGACCCACAGGACCTGCCAGGATCCCACAGGACCTGCCAGGGACCCCACAGGACAGGACCCCCAGGATCCCACAGGACCCCACAGGACCCCCAGATCCCACAGGACCTGCCAGGACCCCACAGGACCTGCCAGATCCCACAGATAGGATCCCACCTGCCAGGATCCCACAGGACCCGCCAGACCCCCCACAGGACCCCCAGGACCCCAGACCCCAGGACCCGCCAGGATCCCCACAGGACCCCCCAGGACCCTGCACAGGATCCCACAGGACCCGCTCCTTATATACCATAATAAGTGGTGGTGTGGGAGACAGTGTTACCAGCTCATTCATGTGTTATTTGTCTCCTCTGTTGACTAAAACTTTCCCGCCCTCAGAGTTGGCAACATTTTCTGCCAACGCGAATTTTAGTTTTTTGTGAAATGTTAGGCGCTGGTGAGGTCCTGATTGGTTGAGTTAAGATGTAGAGGAAGGTGTTGTGTGTGTATGACTCTCTCTCTCTCTCTCTCTTTCTTACCCACACACACACACACACACACACACACACACACACACACACTACTACTACTACTACTACTGGTAATCAAGTATGACGATCATCCAGCTATGATACAATGATATGAGTTATTAAGGATGTCACCTTCGTTGGTGAGTTCTAAGGTGACTAAAGAGGCCGATACGGGACAGGGAGAGTCGATCACAGATGTGGCACGTGTGGGGGGCTACATCTAGTGCGGGAGGGGCGGTGGCAGCGTCTTTCCGGCGTTGGCGCTTGTCTGCCTCGTTATGCAGTCGGGCTAACTCGAAAGTATTGACACCTTCTCGTGTGGTGCTCCTCCAAGCGTTACGGTGTGGAGTAATCGTCTCCCAGGTGAGGGGGTCGATTTGGCACCTTTTTCAGGTTTGTCTTAAGACTATCCTTATACCTCTTCAGTTGCCCGCCAGCGTTACGTTTACTATTCGTTAGGTGACTGTAAAGTAGCTACTTTGGCAGTCTACTGTCGTCCATGAGGGTAACATGGCCAGTCCAGCGTAGTTGTTCATGGATAATGGTAGCCTCGATGCTCCTACAGTTGGTGTCAGCGAGAATACTAGCATTTGTTCTCTTGTCTTCCCAGCGAACTCGGAGGATGGAACGTAGACTACGTTGGTGAGAGTTATCAAGTGCCTTGAGGTGCCTCTTGTATGTGACCCATGTCTCACTGCCCTACAGCAGGGTGGGGAGGACCACTGCTCGATATACGTGTAACTTTGTAGATAATTTCAGCTCCCTACAGCTGAAGACACGGGTACAGAGTCTACCAAAGGCTTGAGATGAACATCTGATCTGATGTTGAATCTCTTCATCGATGTCCGCGGTGGTGGACAGGTGGGAGCCGAGATACTGGAAGTGGGTAACATTAGAGAGGGTAGTACCGTTAAGCTGGGTGGATGGTGGAGGGGTGGCTGAACCAGGGGCAGGCTGAGAGAGAATCTGAGTATTACACACACACACACACACACCAAGAAAGAGAGAAAGAGAGAGAGAGAGAGAGAGAGAGAGAGAGAGAGAGAGAGAGAGATAAATAAATATTATAGAAAGAAAATAAATACAAAGATGGAGAAGAGGAAGACAAGAGAAGAGGAAGACAAGAGGAGAAGAAGAAGACAAAAGAAGCCCCCCACCTGTTGACAACAAGAGCAGGTAATTAAGGAGGACAGCCCAGGTGTAGGTCAGACAAATAACTTATTAAATGATACAAGTTGAGGCTCACTCCCTCTTACCTGGTAGTGAGAGGGGGAGGGGAGGGTGAGGGGAGGGTGAGGAGGAGGGGTGAGGAGGAGGGTGAGGGGTGAGGAGGAGGGTGAGGAGGAGGGGGTGAGGAGGAGGGGTGAGAGGGGTGAGGAGGAGGGGTGAGGAGGAGGGGTGAGAGGGGTGGAGGAGGAGGGTGAGGAGGAGGGTGAGGAGGGGTGAGGAGGGGGGAGGGGGGTGAGGAGGAGGGTGAGGAGGAGGAGGGGTGAGGAGGAGGGAGGTGAGGAGGAGGGGTGAGGAGGAGGGGAGGGAGGGAGGTGAGGAGGAGGGGTGAGGTATGGTGTTGATGACAGATTCTACGTTTTATGACTAACAATTTTCTCACGAATTTACTTGAAATTTTTTTTTGTCCTAATTCCCTCTCCTCTCCATCTCACCCCACTCTTCCCTCACCCCCCCTCACCCCACTCCCACTCCACCCCACTCCGTCATTAGGTAGTAGTAATTATAACTTAGTTCGTCAGATAAAAAAGTTTCCACGAGTCGTCATTTTCGTTCATCACGTTTCTCTTATTTAATCAATTTCTTCCAATTATTGTATTTGTTAATTTGTTTCTCTTCTCTCTGTTTATTTATATAATTTTTGTTATTTTATTTAGTTACACCACACCATCACCACTCATCACCACTCCATCACCACTCCATCACCACTCATCACCACTCATCACCACTCATCATCACTCATCACCACTCCATCATCACACGTCACCACTCCATCACCACTCACCACCACCACTCAACACCACTCATCACCACTCATCACCACTCCACCACCACTCATCACCACTCATCACCACTCCACCACCACTCATCACCACTCATCACCCATACGAGTGTCATTTCCTCTTCACAATCTGTCCCTCTTGTGCGCCTCTGAGGACTGACCGACTTGTTCATTTTGACGATTATATCCCCTGTATGGCGTCAGGATGGCCTTATATGAGGGATGACCAGGATATAACGGGATATAAGAGGATATAACGGGATATAAGAGGATATAGAAGGATATAAGAGCAATATTTACCCAGCCTTCAATGGATACGTTCCCTTCCAGTAGACAGATGTCAGCCTAGCCTCGCCGCCATGATGGGTCACCGTGTCCGAATACAGAAACTAACTAATACACAAAATTATTAAACCAATTAAAAACCAGTTATAAAAAGTACATCACATATATAATAAACCTATATAAAAATAGATTATTGTTATATCTACTGATTAATAAAAAAATAATCATTATTTTTTTGGGGGGGGGATTTTGTTAAGTCGAAGTTACGATGGAAGGAAACGGAGGCGTTGGTGTCAATAAGGATGAATGGTGTTCACTTGTCAACTGTATTGGCGTGTTTGACCAGAGACAGAATGAGCTTACCTAAAGGTTTTAAACTTCCACCATTTTAAGAGACTTCTCCCCTCCTATCTCCCCTCCTATCTCCCCCTCTTGTCTCCCCTTCACACCACAGATCCTCCCCCTTAACCCCACACGAGGCTCCAGTAAGCACCCTCACTTAAATGCGATTACGACGTGGAAAATGGAAACTTATTATTATTATTATTATTATTAATGTTAATGTATCTAGTTAAGGTTAGATTACGTTTTGGTTAGGTTAGGTTAGGTTAGGTTAGGTTAGGTTAGGTTAGGTTAGGTTAGGTTAGGTTAGGTTAGGTTAGGTTAGGTTAGGTTACGGTTAGCAGAGGTGGACAATGTGTATACGAGTCTTAATACTATTTCAATATATAAATTATTATAATACTGTAACTGAGTTTATATTTATAGATGTATTTCAAATATATTTTATGAGTAGTTTATATAATGGATTAGTTTACAGTTCTGGGTCAACACTAGAAATATACTCTGTCGCGTTTCTTAGAGTCATACGGTATTTATAATTGGTTTAAACTCCTCCTACAGTAGTTAGTAGGCAGTAGCAGTAGGTGTGTAGGCAGGTACCAAACAGGAGGTACTGGGAAGATATTGAAGCATAATGTGTTGTCTAATGGTTGACTCTGTGTGACTAAGTCCCAGGTTGATGATCTGACTTTCTGCCTCATTTACACAAAGGTCTCAATTGTTTCTCTGACAGCACAGCACAACACAACACAACACAGCACAACACAACACAACACAACACAGCACAACACAACACAGCACAGCACAGCACAACACAACACAACACAACACAACACAACACAACAACACAGCACAGCACACAACACAACACAACAACACAGCACAGCACAACACACAGCACAGCACAACACAACACAGCACAGCACAACACACACAGCACAGCACAGCACAGCACAACACAGCACAGCACAGCACAACACAGCACAGCACAGCACAACACAGCACAGCACAACACACAACACAGCACAGCACAACACAACACAGCACAGCACAGCACAGCACAGCACAGCACAGCACAACACACAACACAACACAACACAGCACAACACAGCACAGCACAGCACAACACAACACAACACAGCACAGCACAACACAACACAACACACAACACAGCACAGCAGCACAACACAGCAACACAGCACAACACACAACACAGCACAACACAGCACACACAGCACAACACAGCACAGCACAACACAACACAGCACAGCACAACACAGCACAGCACAGCACAGCACAGCAGCACAGCACAACACAACACAACACAAATACAGCACAGCACAGCACAACATACACAGCACAGCACAACACAACACAAACAACACAGCACAGCACAGCACAACACAGCACAGTGCACAAACACAGCACAACACAACACAGCACAACACAACACAACACAACACAACACAGCACAGCACAGCACAACACACACAGCACAGCACAGCACAACACAGCACAACACAGCACAGCACAACACAACACAGCACACAACACAGCACAGCATACAGCACAACACAACACAGCACAGCACAACACACAACACAGCACAGCACAACACAACACAGCACAGCACAACACAGCACAGCACAGCACAGCACAAACACAGCACAGCACAACACAGCACAACACAACACCACACAACACAGCACAACACAGCACAGCACAAC